CTTCCGTGTCCCGGTGTCAGGAGGCCAGCACAGAGGCTGGTTGGGAAGAGAAGGCCAAATGCTCGGAGCAGGGCCCCGCGTGTCGTGAGAGCGCAGGAGGCCCTGGGCGCGGGGTGTGGGGACGGACCGTCACGGCGCTGAGCTTCACGGGGCAGGACGCGTCCGCCCCGCCCACTGCGGTGTCTGCAGTCCCAGCCAGCACCGCACCTGACACGAACGAACGAATGAATGAGGTGTGAAGTGAACAAGTGAATGAATGAATGCCTCCATCATCTCGCCGTACCCCTTCAAGGCGGGCGTGTATCCCTATTTAAGGATGGGAGACTGAGGCTCAGGGCTCTGTCTTCTCTCCACCCCAGGGAAGAAGGGGCCCCAGGGCCAGGGCCCCTCGTACCGAGGAAGGCCAGAAGCCGGCCAGGGGCTTGGAGAGGAGCCGAGGGCCACCCCGAGGCCTGGCTTTCCTCTTCCTGCCCGGACACTTTAAGTGACTCATCCTTCACGTGATATTTTTATGTGTCTCCGTTGGGAAGAAAAACGCCCCTGGGATTTCCAGGGTTGTTGTACTTCCACGGTGCAACCAAATAATTCAGGAGGACAGATAGAGGCAGAGGGTTGTTAAGTGACGAAGGGCCCACAGCTGTCTCAGCTAAGCTCACCCTTTAACCGAGGAGGAAACTGAGGCTGGGCGGGGGGAGCCGCTCACCCCTCAAGGAGGAGGGCGGAGCATCTGGGGTCTTCCGCAGGGCCGGGATTTCCGGCTTAGCCGTTTTTTTCGGCGGCGTGCCCTCAGGCGAATCCTTCCCTTCCCCGGGCCTCAGTTTTCCTCACCTGTAAAATGGGCCAGCAGTGGTGCCTACATCAAACTTTCAAGAAAGTAGCACACACAGAGCATCTGATGGGCGCAGAACTGGCCCAGGGCCCGGGCTCAAAAAGGGGAGCGATTGGAACAGCCAATGTATGACTTGGACCCAGAGCCCCGCGGGCTGCAGGGAGGGGTGGGGGGCGGGTGTCTCTGGGGGAAGAGAATTTTAAAGGGTCAAACTGGAAGGTTTGTTCTTGGAGGGAGGCAGGGACCTGGGGAGACAGGAGTGGTTTCCAGGTTGGTGGTAACCTGCTCGTCTTCCCGGTTAGACCCCTTGGCAAACACACAACGCCACTGAGTACCGAGCACTCTTCTCTCTGCTGCCCTCGGCCCTGCCCCTCGGCCCATGGAGCAAGTGTTATGCCAGCCCAAGGGGCACAGTGAGGGCCTGGGCTGTAGATCCAGGACTCTGAGTGTCCCACCTGGGCTCTCCTCTCCCACCAGAGCCCTGGAGTTGGGTTTCTTGGCTATAGTGAGTGGCTTCCATCTGAGGCTGATGGCCCAAGGTCACTCCTGGTGGTGGCAGTCAGGGTCCAGGCCCTGTCTCGGTGGAGGACCAAGCTGCTTTGTTGCCCCAGGGCCTCTGCCCTCCGCCCCCATGTGCAAGTTTGCTCTTTGCAATAAGATGAACCTGGCATCCAAGCCAACGAGTGCTAATGGAGTTCCTATTCTATGGGCAGCAAACATTTATTCAGCACCTACTGTGTGCAGAGCATGGTGGGGCAATACAAGGACACAAAAGTCCCCACCCCTGAGGAGCTTGTGCCAGGCAGGGAAGCACTAGACCAGCAGGCAAGGCAGAGCGGATCAGTGCTAACCAGAGACACAAGCAAAGGGAGGCAGGAAGAGCGGGAGCAATCAGACCGAGACGTGGGGGTCAAACACACTTTCATTTGCCAGCGGGCACATAGGAACCTCTCAGGCACCCAAACCATCAGCTTCGGGAACAGCGGAGGGGGGGCGACACCAGACAAGAGCCATTTGTGGAGCAGTTGCTGGATCTTCTAGCTCGCGGTCCTTTCTGTCTGACTTCGGCGTGCTGGGGAGCTGGCAGGTCGCCCCGCTAGTAAGCGGTAAGGCCCCACTTCAAGGCCAGGGAGACTGTCGTCACCCCTACAACCCCCGTGGGCCCGTTTGGGGCCAGGCAGACCTGGGTTTAAATGACAGCCCTGCCAACCCTCCGGCTTGGGGCAGATTGCTGAGCCTCCCTGAGCTGGAGATGATAATGCCTACAGTCACTCAACCAGTGCAGCATGTTTATAAAGTGCCTACTGTGTGCCGGGCCATGTGCTGCCTACAGCCATGAGCAAAAACGGAGTGGTCTCGGCAGGGCTGGCCTGGTGGGTAGGCGACCCATGCAGGGCGCCAGCAGGGCTCAGCTCACGGTGGCCGTGCCGGGGGGCTCCGGGTGCCTCCCCTCCCCCACACTGCTGGCTGTGCCGCGCGGCACCCCGGCTGCAGGCGCCCTGTGTCTGTCCTTCCCCAGGCCCACGCTCGGGCACAGCGGCCGGCACAGCGAGGGAAGACGTCCTAGTTCCCCCCCACCGCTCCCTCCTGCAGGCACAGGCGGGTCAGGAGGACACGCTTTGATCTCACTTCACACAGGCCCGGAGTGTTTATTCCTGGACTTCACGTTTCGGAGAGAGATTTCATAACCTCTAAGTGGATGTTGTCCTGAAAACAGAAGTTCACCATCTCAGGGGTGGGTCTGCCCTGGAAACCCGGGGACGTGTGGAGGTTAAACGTCCCCGGCAAGGCTGTCTGTGCAGGTGCCTGTGCGCAAACACGCTCCCTGGGGTGTGGACACTCGGCAGTCTGTGTAGACGGGGCACAGGAGTTTGGATCCCCTCTCAGGGCCCTCATTCTCCGTCTGTGTGATGGGGGGCCCGGCGGCCCAGCCCAGGGCAGTGGCGAGAAGAGGGGGTGTAATCTGCTGTCTACCCTAGCCTGGTAATGGCTGTCCCCCCCAGGCCGCCGGTCTCCTGGCAGTGGCCCTCGTCTGTCGCCTGTGGCCGAATCCCCCGTGCCCCGCGCTGTGTGGCCCACGGCAGCGCGTTAGGCTTTGTTGAAGGGGAACCGCTCTGTGAGCAGTGGGGTCGGGAGGGCAGGGAACCGAGGCTGCCCCCTGGACGTCCACGTGGGAACGTCCGAGGTGGGAAAGGGCTGCCCTGGGGAAGGGCCGGCCTGGGCCCCACGCCCGGGATGCTGGGGCGGGACTTCCAGCCTCCCTCCCACCCCGGCAGTGCGGTAGGTGGGTGTGTGGGGCGCAGGCATGAGACTGGTCTCATGCCCTTCTCTGTCCTCAGTGCCCAGAAGTCCAGGCCGGTGTGGCCCGAGTCTAAAGAGGGCCAGACCCCGGGGGCAGTGGTCTGGGCTGCCCGTTTCCCTTTTTCAAGTTCATTCCCAAGTCAGGGCGCACACCCGGCAGGCGTCACAGTGGCTCACCCACGCCGGCCACGGGCGGGCCCAGACGGCCCACGGCAACACCGGGCAGGTGAAGGCCAGTTTCAGGAGCCCACGGCGGAGGGTGCGGGAGCCAGGCGGGGACAGCTGTCCTGAGAGGTGGACGCCCCAGCGAGCCTCAAGCCTGCGGCTGCGGAGGGCACAGGGGTGGCCCCAGCATTGGGGGGAGCAGCCTGTGCACAGGCCCGCAGGGCCCGGGGGGCCAGGTCACGGGGGGCCCCAGGCGTGCGCGTGGCTGTGAACCCCGGGGAGGCAGGCACGTGGTGACGTGGGCCCTGGGGACAGCGGCGCTGGGGCTGGTGGAGGAGGCTGAACCGGAGACGGCCGTGACTCCTCTGGAGGCCCACGCGTGCCAGCCCTGCGCCAGCGCTTTGATGCACTGCGCCGTTAAATCGCCACGGCGACCCTGCGATTCGGATGCCACTGTTGTCCCCATTCCAGGCCTGAGGAGACTGAGGCTCAGGTGACTCGGCCCAGGTCACAGGGTGTGGTTCCAAAAGCTGGAGCCAGGACGTGGCCCGGCAGAGCCCCCGAGCCCCGGGCCTTGCTGCCCTTGGCAGGGGCGGGCAGGGGGCTGGCGGGGCGGGCATGAGCCCCTGCTGCTGCCGCCGGGTCTCCAGGCGCCCCTGCCGGGCCTGCCCCACCCCACTCTGCCGCGCCTGTGCCCACGGAAACAGGTCTGTCGTGGTTCCCGGCGGGGCGCAATCCGTCTTCCCGGCCCTGTTTCTCTTCACATGCCCTGCTTCCCCTCCCTGTCTCGCCAAGCTCGGCGTTTAAAAATAATCCTCAAATCCGGGAACGGCAGTCCCCGGCTGACCCGAGGGTGGACCTCAGAGATGCGTGCCTGACTCGTGATCCCGGACCCGGTCACAGTCCCACGGCGAGCGTTCCGGGAAGTCCCCCTCATCCAGAACGTTCTTCCAGTTGCTAGAGTGTCATCGCTGGTCCTGAGCTCCCATCTCGGGGAGTTTACCACTTTGCAAAGAGATCGGCCCAGGAGGATGAATCTGATCTGTCTGTGGCGGACGTGCTTTCTGGGAGGCCTGGGAAACTGTCGCTGCCAGGAGCTGGAGTGGGCTTCAGAGCCGGGGCCTGTCTCCTGTCTCTGGTGCTGAGTCGCTGTGTGGCCTTGGGCTGGTCACTTCACCTCTCTGGGTCTCGGTTTCTCGCTTTCTGAGACGGGAGTTTGATGATCTACCTAGTGGGGCTGACGTGGGGTCACCTAAGACAACACGGGTAAGTGGCCTGGTTCTCAGCCGGCATCGTCCAGACCGGGCCAGCGGCCCCCAGTGGCCGCACAGGGCCGGGCAGGGCCGGCAGGAGCAGGAGTGACACCTTTCAGGCCCTGTTCCCGGTGCTGCAGCAGCTCCCCACAAAACACATCACCGGGGGGCGCCGCGGGCCCCCCCTGGCGCCACAACACCCCACCACAGCACACCACCCCCCAGGACGCCGCCCCCCCCCAGAACACCCACAAGAGCCGACAAGGCCGCCGCGGAGAAGAGCACAACAGAACAACCAGAGGACGCACGACGAGCACAACAGCAGCCCGCCCGACGACGCCCGAGGAGGGCAGCCAGCAGCCCGACCAGCAGCCGCGGCGCGGCACCCAACAACCGCCGCCGCCCCCCAGCAGAAGTGGAACTTCCACGTCCATGACTTCTCCGTGACGCACCGTGGGGTTCTCTGTCCTCTGAGGATTTAGCCTTCAGTTGCGGCACCCGAGCTGCCTTAGGACCCCTCATTCACCCAGCAAGCCCACCAAGTCTTGGACCTAAGCCCTGGCCACAAGCGTGGGGCAGCCCCACCCTGCAGGCACCCGGAGGACCTGGAGCCTGGAGACACATCTCAGCTCTCACTGGGCCTCGGCTTCCCGGTCTGTAGAATGGGGCCGCGGGGGACTTGTCAGTCTCCGCCTCCTGCGGTGCATTTTCCGGGGCTGATCCTTGGCTTCCCCGGGTGAAATCCTCTCTTAAGCTCTGAAATGCTTTAATCTCCGTTCATCCTCCCAGGAGGGCCAGGAGGAGGGAGGCCAGGAGAGGCCCCGGCGCAGAGCAATTAAGCAGCTCACAGCCGTGGAGGGCGGTGGGGCGGCGGTGGGAGCAGAGAGGCCGGCGGGTGAGGCAGGAGGGGCCGTCCCTGGCGTGCTGAGGCCCCACCGTGAGTAACGTGATGTTAAGACCTCAGGTTTCGGTGGCATTTTACAGTCATGCTGCCCCTTTTCTTATTCCGACAAACCAAACCTCATGAGGATGGCTCCTGGCACCTTAGGTAGCACCATGGTGCCCATGCCACGGGGGAAACTGAGGCTCTGAAGGCAGGGCCGAGGCCAGGCTGTAAGCACCGTGCATCTGGCCTTGAGCCTTGCCGTCTCCTCGCTCCGAAGTTTCCAGCCTCCGGGTGCCAGGTGGCCTCCCCTTCTGCCAGCCCCGCAGCCCTGGCTCAGCCCCGCTGCGCAGGACTCAGGGCGGCCTGGGGCCCGAGCTGGTGTCCTCTCTGCTCTCCGTGGCCAGGCTGGCCCAGGGGTCCGGAGCAGGTGCCCAGACGTCTGGGCAGTCAGAGGGGTCACTTCTTTGGGCTGTGTGTTGTCCTCCTGTGTCCTCTCCCAGCCCGTGTTGTCTGGCAGCAGATCCGTGCCACGTGTGTGCAGCTCTCCACCTGTCCCCCAGATGTGGACGTGGCGGGGAAGGGGCAGGTCAGCCAGGCCAGGAGGGCTCCAGGGTGCCCCCCCACCTCCGGGCAGGTGCGGGCTCTCCAGGGCCCCCCATCCTCACATCAGATCCGCCCCAAGGAGCGCAGGTGAGCGTCGACCTGCGGACCCCAGCCCAGTCCTTCCCGGGAGCTGTCCCCGGTTGCTCCAGCTGCCACAAAACACCCCCCACACATTGACGTAAACGGCAGGTGTTCATGGTCTCGTGGTTTGGAGACGGAGGTCTGAGGTCAGGGTTCGGCGGGGTTGGTTCCTTCTGGGGCTGGGAGGGCGGGTCTGCTCCAGGCCCCTGCTGGCCTCGGTGGTCTGTGGTGACCTTCGGTGCTTGTTGGCTTGTGCACCCCACCCCATCTCTGCCTCTACATTCACCTGCGTCCCCCCTGCACGTGTGTGTGTGCAGATGTCCCCTTTTTATGAGGACGCCAGTCACAGTGGATTAGGGCCACCCTGTTCCAGCACGAACTCACTAACGACCTCTGCAGTGACCCTCTTTGCAAACAAGGCCACGTTCGGAGGTACTGGGAGTCGGGACTTCAACATGCGAACTGGGTGGAGGACACAGTTCGTGGGAGGGCTGTCCTGCTTACAGGGGGGACACTGGGCCACCTCCATGTCCCCTCCCCTGTGACCCACTTCCTTGCTGCTCCCACCTCAGGGAGCACTTGCTCCCTTCGGTCACACGCTCCCTCCAAAGGGCCACAGACTCTCCCCTGCCGCGCTCAAGGCCCTGCTCAGTGCCACCTCCCCAGACAGGCCCTGTCTGAAGCAGCCCCCACATCACCATTCTCTGCACCCCGAACACCTTGCTTTATTTTCACTCACAGCGTTTTTTTTTTTTTAAATGTGCCGTGGTGCACATAGACATGACAGAGGACGTCCCACGGCAACCGTTGTCAGTGCACGCTTCGGTGGCAGTAAGCACGTTCACGCTGTTGTGCAGCCGTCAGCACCCTCCGGCACCTCCCCGCCGCCCACCCCCAGAGCCTCTCCATCTTCCCAAGCTGCCCCCCGTCCCCGCTGGGCACCGGCTCCCACGCACCCTCCTCCCAACACCCCCGCCGTGGGCTCGCTGCTCCCGTGGGTTTGCTGCCGCGCTGTCCCTGAGAGTGGACCCGCAGGGTCTGTCCGTCCGTCTCGTTTCCTGGGCGGCGTGTGCCCTGGGTTCTCACAGGCCTCGCCGTGTCCCGGCAGGTGTCGGGATTTCCTTCCTTTTTAAGGCAGACTAATACTCCACGCGTGCCCGCGCCACGACGCGTCTATCCGCTCTCCCACCCACGGCGCTCGGGTTGCTCCCCGCTTTGGCCGCCGTGGAAACGGGCGCACAGGCATCCGTGTGGGTCTCTGCTTCCCGGGTGTGCAGGGCTTGTGCTCAGGAGCCTCGTGGCATTTTAAATATTCATTTGTTTGTGTGTCGGCAGCTCCTTCCTCGCCGAGCGCAGCAAGCGGGGGGCAGACGGCTTCTATTGCGCTCATCGCTGTGTCCCTCACGCCTGGACAGGTGCCCGGCTCGGCGCGTACTCGCGGGGAGGGGGTGGGGGGGCGCTGACGGAAGTCACCGTTAGCCGCACGGTGGGGAGACCCGGGTCCCGGAGCCCCGAGGTGGCCGGGCTGGCCCCGGCACCCTCACTCCCAGGCGTCTGCCCACCGGTCATTTCCACCACCTGCGCCATCCTCCTCCTCCTCTGATTAAGTCCCGTTTTGCCGTGAAAAGAAAAGGAAGTGAGAGTTGGCTGGTGGGGGAAAGTCATCCATTCCAGAAAGGAAATTGGATGGCGGCGTCTCCCCCGTCCACGCCCGGCCCCTGCTCCCAGCAACCTCGCTCCCCTGCCGCCCCGGCCCCGCCGCGGGCAGCGAAGCCGGCGTCAGGCGAGACCGCCCACACCCAGCCTCTCTGCCTCTCCTTACGCAGACAGCTCCGACGGGTCGATGCCAGCCAAACGATGACCAGTTGTGGCCAGCCGCCCTTGAACGTGCTCACCGTCCTCTTCTCGTTGCTGTTCTCCGCAGGTAAAGCCTCCGTGGGTGTTCCTCGGGGAGGGGGCGGCCGGGGTCGGGGGGCAGGTGGGCCCTGCCGGGGTGGGTGCTGGCCCATCTGGGGTTCTGGGGGCCGACAGGGGCCTGGCTTGAGTCCCCCGCCCCACCGCTGTCCCCTGTGATGAGCTGATGTCCGCTGCCATGGAGTGAGGACCTACTGTGTGCCGTGGCCCTGGGTGGGGGGGCTTGCCACGGAGCTCGGGGCTGCCGGGGGCCCGGGAGAAGCCCTGCCAGTGGAAGTTGGGCAGTGCACAGTCATCCCGCTTTGCAGATGAGGACACTGAGGCTTGGAGCGGGAACTGGCTCGTCTGAGTTTACACAGCTGGCGGAGTCTCGCCCAGGCAGCAGCGCCATGCTGGGCCCGACTGGCAGAACCTGAACAGCCTCCCAGGCTGGCCCCTGAGCCCGGCTGGGGTCACAGGTGGGCTCGAGCTCTCCTGGTTACAAAGACGAGAGTAGGCCAAGTCCTCCACTCCTCCAGAATAGAGCTCGGTGACCCCCAGCACCCCCCACAGCAAGGCCAGCCCCGCACGGCCGGCCAGCGCCTGGTCTGAGCAAGGTGCCCTCTCTGTCTCCACCTGTCTCTCTGTCTCTATTTCTGTCTGTCTGTCTCTGCCTCTGTACTGCCTCATGCCCACAAGCTCTAGCAGAGCCGTGGGCATCCGCCTGGTGGTTTTTAGCACTTGCCCCTTTGCAGGGGGTGTGGCCCAGAGAGAGGCCGTGAGGGGTGGGGGGGTTGGACTCCCAGGGCAGCAGAGCCCAAGCCAAGCCCAGGCCGGGGTCTGGGGGCCACCGTCCACCCAGCTGCATCCCGCCGCTGCAAGTGCTTCCCATGCATGGGGCCATCTGGTCCTCGCTGCCCGTGGGCATTTTCAAATGAGACCCCTGAGGCACAGAGAGGGGAGGTGACCTGCTCGAGGTCACACAGGCAGGGCAGGAGCCGGCCACTGAGGGAGGGCCACTGGGACCAGGAGTCTCGCTGAGCCCTGCACGCAGGGGAGTGCTCGTGATCCAAGGCTCAGGGACCCGAGAGCGTGGCCTTCCCCTCGGGGTCCCCTCTCTGCCTGGGCTGGTTTCCTGGCGACTCAGAACCCAGAGGCCTCCTACGGGGTGTCCCTCAGCCCGAGAGCCACGCCGCACTCAGGCGGAAGCCTAAGGTGCCGCCCTTTGCCTGCGAGTTTGCTCACACCCTCCTGTTCCAAGCAGGGCCTGGGCTTGGCCGGTTACAGGGACCCCCTGGGCCCTCCCCAGCTGCCCACAAGCCGAGTGAGAGCAGACCCGGGCAGCGGCCCGGACGGCGGCCGGAACTGCCCGCCTGCCCCTCACCTCCCGTCTCAGCACACCCTCCCTCTGCGCCTGGGGCCCCAAAGCCCTGGGGGGCTCGTGAGGACGGATTGCAGGGCTGCCCCAGAGCTTCGGACTCGCAAGGTCTGCGGAGGGGCCCGAGAACCTGCATTTCTGACAAGCCCCCAAGGGACGCTGCCGTGGCAGGTCAGGGACCAGCCCTGAGAACCTCCGCGCTGAGCTCAGTTTCTCTGCATAGCGGGAGGGAGAGTGAGCGAGACCACCGTCCACCCAGCACTTAACCTCTGCGTCCCCGTGGGCCAGTCTCCCGTTTCCCAAGGCTGAGGATGAGGAGGAGGCCTGAGAGCACCCGACTCCCAGGAAGCTGGGCCCTTTCTCCTGCAGTGGCCGTGCCCGTCCCCAAGGGAGGAGGCGCTGGCCTCTGGGGAGGGGCGCAGGAGCGCACGCAGGCCCCCCAGGCAGCTCCGGCCCCCTGCCGCGTGAGCACCGCCCGCCCACCCGGCCAGCTGGGACCCCCCCCGCCGCCGGGCGCTGTGTGGGCTGCGGTCTCATAGCCTCTCCGCAGACGCAGCTCCCACTAGCCGGAGGAGCGCTGCACACCCGCCTTTGTGGTTGGAGAGATGCATTCAGCCCGTGAAGCCCCTTTTCAGCGATACAAATTAGATACAGCGATCCCTTCTATGAAGATACTAATTAAGCCTGAGACAGCGGGCTCCAGGTTTTTTCCATTGTTGTATTTGTTCGGGCTTTCGCTCCTGTTCATCTCCGCGGCACGACTCAAACACCGCCCCAGGCCAACGGCAGCATCGCCGGCAGGATGGGAGCCTCCTCTGTGGGCAGCCCCACCACCGTGGGGCAGGGGTGACCATGGCAGGCCCTTGGGGACCTCAGGGTCCAGGGCACCAGTTTAGTAGAAACCAAGGAACTGAGGGGGCCGCTGCTTTTGACCCAAGAGGGTTCCCAGGGGGTCCTCGCACCCAGGCCGGCCACCACCTGGGCCCGCCTGGTCTGCTAGCGGGCCCACCGCCAGCCCACCCAGGAACAGAGGTTGCTAGAGCCAGCGGTGGAGGAGTGGAGGGGCCCTGGGCTCTGAATCAGGCAGGCCTGGGTGCGTTCCTGCCCCCCCACTACCACTTAGACAAGTCACCTTAGGCCTCAGAGCCTCAGTTGCTCCATCTGTGAAGTGGGATCCCAAAGCCGCCTGCTAGGCAGCCCTGTGGATTAAATGAGATGGGCCTGTGAATCACATAGTAGGTGTGCTCCATTAAGGTTGGTTTCCTCATTAAGTGCCTGCTGCATACCGGGCTGTGGGGAGGGGGATCTGTGTGAGGCTTGAGATGCAGCCCTGCCCTCCAGGAGACCCCAGTCCAGGACACACAGAGAGTTTAACCAGGGCTGGGAGCCCGGGGGTGCCCGGAGCCCCAAGGAGGCTTCCTGGAGAGGTGATGCTCGCAGTGGGTCTCAAAGACTTCCCAGGGGCCGGGCGTGGTGGCTCACACCTGTAATCCTAGCACTCTGGGAGGCCGAGGCTGGTGGATTGCTTGAGGTCAGGAGTTCGAAACCAGCCTGAGCAAGAGCGAAACCCCATCTCTACTATAAATAGAAATTAATTGGCCAACTAATATATATAGAAAAAATTAGCCGGGCATGGTGGTGCATGCCTGTAGTCCTAGCTACTCGGGAGGCTAAGGCAGGAGGATTGCTTGAGCCCAGGAGTGTGAGGTTGCTGTGAGCTAGGCTGACGCCAGGGCACTCACTCTAGCCTGGGCAACAAAGCGAGACTCTGTCTCAAAAAAAAAAAAAAAGAGACTTCCCAGGGAGGGAAGAGGCATGCGGGACCCTAGAATAGGCTGGCCAGTCCCCACCCCGTGGGCCCCGTGGGCTGCCGAGGGCCCCACCGAGCCTGGCGACTCTGTCTTCCAGTCTTGTCTGCACATTTCCGGGTCTGCGAGCCGTACACGGACCACAAAGGACGCTACCACTTTGGCTTCCACTGCCCCCGGCTCTCGGACAACAAAACCTTCATCCTGTGTTGTCACCATAACAACACGGTCTTCAAATACTGCTGCAACGAGACGGAGTTCCAGGCGGTGATGCAGGCGAACCTCACCGCCAGCTCCGAGGGCTACGTGCACAAGTGAGTACCAGGCGGGGCGCAGCCCCACCGCGGCGGGCCCCGCGCAGGGCGCCGCGCCTCCCCAGATCCCGTCCCGTGGGGAAGCTGCCGGGCAACCACTGCACCTGTGGCTGGACCCGGAAGGAGTCTGGGAAAGTCTGGGTTTCTGGCCCGTGCTGACCTCTGGGCTTTAGTCTTCTCATCTGAGAAATGGGCACATGATACCCACCTTTCAGGGCCACTGCTGAGGTTAAGCGAGGTTAAGTGAGGTTAAGGCTTTCAGGCATAGGAGCCACCTGGGCCTGGAATCCACCGGGCCCATGTTCCTCCATCCATCTGTTGTTCATTCCACAAATGCCGGTTGACACTGTTGAGCCAGAGATTAATCCCACGAAGTCCTTTTTGCTTAAGGTGATTAAAACACATTCAGAGCAAGTGTGCTGATTGAGGGGACCATGGGTGTGGAGAAAGAGGAGGAGCGTGCAAGGAGAAAAGCAATAGGATCATGCTAAAGGCACGGAGGATGGAAGCAGCACACGGTCCGTGTATCACGCGTGAAGCTGACCATCTTTTCCCGTGCTCGGGAGCCATCCGTATCTCTTCTGCCATGAGCCAGCTGCTTCTGTCTTTTGCAGTTTTCCCATTGAAGTTTTGGTCCTTATTTATTTACGGGAATTCTTTATACAGGGAGGAAATAGGATGTGCTGCAAGTATTTTCTCAGTGTGTCTTTGACTTTAGGATGCTTTTTCTTCATGCTTAATTTTAATTTTTATGTAATCATATTTTATCCTTTTTTTTTTCCTTTATGGTTTCCCAGTTTTGTGTCTTACTGAGAAAGGCTTTTCCTACTCCAAGGCCACTAAACATTCCCCCGTATTTTCTTCTACTTCTTTTATGTTTTAATTTTTTTATCTTCAAATCGCTGATCGATCAGGAATTTATTTTGATGTAAGTTTCAAGGGTAGGAATCCAACCTCTTTTTTATTATTTTTACCAAGTAGGTAGCCAGTTCTCCAACACCATTCATTGAATTGGTCATCTTTTCTCTGCCCATGTGAAATGCAAACATCATGTACCATCGAGTGCTAAATCTGAGTATCGTGGCAGATGGCAACACATTCGTGGCTTTCATTGATGGACCTGTTTGTCTACGTGTTAGTACCTCGCTGTGTTAGCTACTGTGGCTTTTAATATGTTTTAACGTGTTACTCTGTTCACCCCAGCTCTTTTGTCACGTGAACTTCAGAATTAGCTTGTGTACTTTTCCTTCCTCCCCCCAATACTCCAGTTGGCATTTTTTACTCTGATCGTATTGAATTCACAGAGGAATCCAAGGGCTGACTATTATGGTGTTGATACAGACATCCTCAAACCACGGGCCACATGTGGGAGTTTTTGCCCATTTGTTTTTTTACTTCAAAATGAGATATGTGCAGTGTGCATAGGAATTTGTTCATAGTTTTTTTTTTTAAACTATAGCCCAGCCCTCCAACGGTCTGAGGGACAGTGAAGTGGCCCCCTGTTTAAAAAGTTTGAGGACCCCTGGTATTGAATATTCCCATGTGAAGGTCTTCCAACATGTTCAAATTTTCTTTGATAGCATTTTCCTCCTATAGATAGTATACATATCTTTTGCATTTATTTCCAGTGATTTCTTTTCATGTTGCTATTATAAATGAGGTCTTTTCTTCCACTATATCCTCTGACTGTTGTTAAGATGATAAAAACCAATGACTTTGACATACGAATTTTGTCATCAGCCACCTTCCTGAAAATTTCTTATCTTGGTAATACTTTTTTCAGTTGATTCTCTTAGGCTTGCAGTTATTCCGTTCGCAAACAATAATAATTTTACCTCCTACTTCCCGATTTTTGTTTTCTCGTCCCATGGCGCTGGCTGGCACCTCTCAACGGGTCGTTAGAATGGCCGGGCTCCTTACCTTCTTCCTGACTTTACTGAGGGTGCTTCCGATATTTTCCCGATAAGCTAGAGGCTGACTCTTGGGGCAGATGTATTTTTTCACCGCAAGGACAACTCTGCCTGGAAGGGACGTTTGTCGAGTGACTGTCGAAGGCTCGGTGGCAGCCGTAGGAGGCGATGGGCAGGGGTCCGCGGCTCAACCCGGCTGGTGCTGGGGCTCCCGGGGGCTCCGTCCCGTGCCGCACGCACCCGGGGGGACGTCGCTTCCTCCCCTGGGCTGGGCAGGAGCTGCCAACTCCTTGACTATCCTCCAGGCTCCCCGCCTCCCCCAGGCCAGCTCCCAGCCTTCCTTCCTCAAATGCACGGTGCTTCCCCCGAATATCCCGCCATCTGCTCAGCCTCCGAGTAGTTCTGTGCCCGAAGCTGTTCGGCAAGCCTGTCCGTCACGCGAGGGCTGCAGGCGGGCCTGGAGTTTGACCCAAGCCGTTTACACGGCCGAGCACCGATTCCCCAAGGGCCGAGGGTGGCACCAGGGCGGGGTCAGGACCCTGGCGAGCCGCGGTGAGGCTGACGGCCAGCCAGGGGCTTGGCAGCGAGGTCTGGCAACTGGCGCCTGGGATCCTCGCGCCGGAGCCCACAGGTTTCTATAATCTGCACAGTTGCACAGGATTTCACACGGAGCGCTCCACTGTGTCGGCGCAGGGGGTCCCGCGGCGGCTGCGGCAATCCGAATCCTTGGGCCCCAGAATAGAGGCCTCCCGCGGGGGGACGGGGAGGCCGGAGATCAGGGTTTTCACTTACAGTTTCCTCTGTGTCCTCAAGAAGCGGGGGTGGGGCTCTGTGCTCCCCCCTCCCCCGTGCCACTGAGGTCACTTGGCAGCCATCCCTGGCCGCCTTGCACGTGAGGAAGACGAGGCACAGAGCAGCCAGTGACGTGCCCGGTGAAGGCAGCCGGTCGGGCCGTGGGCGCCGAGAGCCGCCCTCCTGGTCTGGGAGCCGCCTGCGTGACCCTGGCGCTTCCTTCCGCCCGCCAAGGCAAATCCAATCCTGGCGGAGGCGTCCCCCCAGGCGGGGGTGCTTGGGGGCTGGGCCACTCGCTGCCGGGGGCCACCCTGTCATTGTCCACGGCCAGCAGCGTCCCCGGCTCTGGCCCCGAAGATGCCAGGAGCCCGTCCTCCCCGCCACCCGGGCACGGCCAGCAGCGTCTCCTGCCGCTGCCAGGCGTGCACTGCCCCAGCGACCTTCCCGCCACCTCCCTTTGCACAGTCGGGGGCCGGGGCGTCATCCACCAGGGAGAACCCGGCCCCGGTCCCTGCCCCCGCCCTGGGCCCTTCCTGGGACAAGCGATCCTGGGGGTGGGGGTGGTGCCCGGTCCTCAGCGTGCAGGAAGCTGGGAGCCCACGGCCCAGAGGAAAGAGCACTTCTGGGCAGAGCCCACTGCGGCCAAGTGGGGCGTACAAGGGGACCAGGGCACAGACACTGGGGCCAGAGGGGCCTCCCAGGCTCGGGTAGGGGCAGGTGCGTGGACTTTCTCCTGAGGTCCCCGAGGGTCCCAGAGGGCTTTGCGTGGCTTTGTGCCGCACGGACGGTGCCTAGGTGAGGCCCGGAGGACTCAGGACGTCCACAGGAGCGTGAGGGTGGGCTGGGCAAGACCCGGCCCCCGCTGAGGGGGGATCCAGGGCTTACATCAGGGCCCCTGGAAGCCCCTGACCAGCCACCCAAGTTGAGGGACCGTGGGGAGAGGGCCCAAGCCCGGGGAGCTGGAGCAGGGCCTGGCATCCTGGTGGGGCCAGCAGCAGAGAGGGGACAAGGTTGACATCCCGGGTCCCCAAATGGGTGGGACGGGGCCTGCGTGTGTGGAGGGACCCAGGGAGAGTCCACCTTCGTGGCTGTCCTGGTGCAGGTGCTGAAGTCACCTGTTCCTGGCCACATGGGTGGGATAACAACTAGAGTCGGGACTGGAGGGACGAGGGAACCCTCGTTCTGCCACCCACGGGTGACGCTGTGGATCTTGGCTGGGAGGCAGGACGGCCCCGGACGCCAGACAGGTTCGTGGCTGCCTGTGGCCAGTCTGGGCGGAGCGGGCCAGCCGTGGCCCTGCAGGGGCTTCAGCCCACTGCCTGCGGCCAGCAGCAGCCAGAGCTCTGGCGCGTCCCCCAGCCCCCCCCCCCTTGCGGGTGAGTCATGCGGGAGGCAGGGCTGGTGACAGGGAAAAGGAGAGCGCTTCTGATGACTTATTTATTTGTGTTTTTCTGGAGGAACAGAATGGTTTGTTTTGGTTCTGGCTGCCTGGCGGGAAGGCAGGAGGAGTGACAGGAAGCAGCCTAGCCAAGCCCACCACCGCGGCGGTTCCGCCCGGCTCGGCGCCCACTGCCAGCCGGCGGGCGGCGGGGAGGCTGGGCGGGCAGGGCCGGACGGAGAGGAGCAGTGCTCCGCAGCCCTCCCGTGCTAGGGCCCGCCGGACCCGGGGACGGTGACGCAGACCCGGGTCCCTGAGCCACCCGCGGAAGCCTCTGTCCAGCGTTCGGCGGGGACGGGCGTGGGGGTGGGGGATTAGTTCTCTCTGGGGACAGGGAGGTCTCCCCAGAGGGGGTGGCGCCCGACACAGCGTGTGGGCAGCCGTCACTGGGCAGGCGACTACAGGGCTGGGGTGAGGGCGGGACTCCGGGCAGACAGACGCGCACTTCCTGGAGGCCTCAGCGTGCGAGGCACACGGGCCGTCCTTCCTCCCCTGGCCGTGCATGGAACCTCTGTCCCCCCGGAGGTGGCCTTTGCCCCAGGCCGGGGAAGGGAGGCAGAGGAGGATCCACGGGATTGACTCTCACACGCGGAGCCTGCCTCTCGCTCGCTCCTTCCGCCCTCTAGAGTTGCTGCCTACGAAGAGGTCCCACGAGCCCGTCCACCAGGGCTGAGGCTCAGAGAGGGCGAAGCCTTGCCCGCGGCCACGCAGCGCACAGGCGGCACAGCGGGGCGCGGTTATGCCACGTAACAAAGCGCCCAAAGGCCCCAGGCCAAAGGCTGCTTTTGGCTCTCGCTCCGTGTCCTTCTGGGCACCGAGGCTCTGCAGGCAGAACATTCCGTGACGGGGCCGGGAAGCAG